CGGTTCGGTTCGCGGCCTTCCTGAAAGAAGCTCATGGAAGTTGTGGAGCGTACGTGCTTCATACACTAGACGAGACTTCTGGAAGTCTGTCGCATGTGGACATGCATGGGCAGGGTATGGTCCTTGGCTAAAGTTAAAGGATGTCAAAGGGATCGCACGACATGCAGGCCCTGTGTGGCATTGCCGAAGCTTCCTTGGATGATGTGCAACGCTCCCAGTCAAGCTGAGCTATCATTCAGATACGCTCGTTCAGATACGCTCTTTGTCTTCATTGCTTTGCGGCCCTGCAGCGTGCACTGGTGCCGAGGACCCGTTTCATGAAACAGGAAGCGGGCATGCTTTGTGCAGAGGCACGGAGAGAAAGCGGCTTGCGGTGACAGAGACCCAGCTGTGCGGATGTTGGTGTTGAATATCACCTGGCACCTTGCGCTAGTAGTATCACTGCTCGCAAGTTTGGGTGCAGGCGACTACTGTACAATATTCACCTGACAAGAGTTCTTCAACACTACGAGCTCAGAGCACACTGCAACAGTGGAGAAGTACGTAAGCAGCGTGGCCACAGCCAGGTTCATGCATACACTGGGAGGAGGATCAGAAGCCACAAGGAACAGCAAACGGCGAATCCGGGCCCTGCCCTAGATGGCAGACGAGCCCAATGCTGCGGATGCCATCGAACTTTCGGTGCCTGGGGATGCCACGACACTGTCCGATGCCATACGGCTGGGCCGGCAGCGCTGCAAAGCAGGAGATTCAGGGTTGGTGACAGAGCTGGAGTTTTGGTGCACAGCGCAGGGCACCAGGGCGGGACTTAGAGCCCTGCCAGGAGCTTCTCTTCTTGTTAAGCTGGCAGCGGAACACCGGGAACCCCAGGAGGCCTGGCCATTGGAGATCGTTCTTCAAGAAGGACGAGAGCTCGAGCCGGGCTCGGGGTTGAAGCACGTCTTGTCGCCTTTGCACACCTTCGAAGTCTGTGGCAGGAGACTGCCTCGGAAGGCTGAGCGTCACCGGGGCAACAAATTCCCCTGCTCGCCTGGGTGATGTGCAGCTTGCATCGACTGATGCAGCGCTTTGCATGAGACACGTCGTGTGCGGCTCTCTTACCATTGCTTCTCGACTGCCACATCGAAGTAAAGTAATGCACTGACATCTGTCAGAACTTCGCACCCAACTTATCTCTTACTTCAATGATGAAGGACGGCGTGGGATGTGTTCTGGAAGACTGCGAGGCACCAACGGCTGCTGACAATGTCTGGCGGCGAGTGTTCGCGGGAAATATCAACCAACCACATGAGAGTCGATGCACGCCGTTGTGCAAACAAGTAGGTGAGTAAACTTCGAAGCCTTCAATACAGTTGACACTGCCTTTTCACGCGAACAGCACGGGCAGATTCTGTGTTGCTCAAGGAACTGGAGCGGCCATTAGCAACAACTGATTGGGAGGGAGGGAGGGAGGGAGGGAGGGCGGGAGGGAGGTCTGACGACACTCGAAGGGGGAGAGAGGGAGAGAGAGAGTTCGCGGAATATCCGTAGGGGGAACCGTGAGACACCCCGGGACATGCAAGTGCACGCACGTGCGCGGTGCTCAGGGTCGGACCGCCCTGGGCCCCCTACCTCGTCGAGAGACAGAGAGAGAGTCCGAGTACCTTACTTGACTCAGAGACTAACAGGGCGCGTGTGCTCGCGGCGGTGGAGCGCTGCTTACCCCTCTGTCTGTGTTGAAGAAGACTCCGAGTACAACCGCAGCCGGCACAGCATGGCACAGCAGTACCAGGAATGAGAGGGCGCAATGTGATCCCAGCGGGGGAATACGTAGAAGAGGGGGACCACCCCGGCGACGCAGAGCCTTCGACAGCCCCCGCTCACTGGACAATGATGACTAGAGGGGCTACTGGTGAGGTTTTCGTTGGAGATTGCTACTGGGGGCCTTAGGTGCACTCTTGGGACAACTCGGAAGCTGGAACCACGCAGTGAGCCCGGGGGCCAGTAACATTGCCTAGAGGTACGCCTGCTGATGATGTCGTGTCTTCAGAATTCGGTGTGCCAGGCTTCACCCTACTCGAAATCCCCGCGACGAGCCAACAGCTCGCTGGAAGGGCCGCCATTTAAATGTCAGAGTCGCACGAAAGGGGGGGACAAACTTTCCTTCGTCGCGATAGCCAATGTTACGTTATTGTGTTGGCCTCCACAACAGTCCGCCCTTCGGCTCAGTCGCATAAAAGCTATGAAAGGGGGATGCGCGAAGTAGACAGGACTCTGTTAGGGCAGGCTATCTTCCAGGCAAAAAGTCTCCGAGCAAAATGGTCCGGTGCATGGGTGCTCTACCTATGAGTTGTCAGCCTGTCAGCCCTCGGTTACGTTAGCCACGGGGCGCGGGGATGAGGCCGGGACGTGGGGTGGTTGTAGTGTTAGCGGAAAAAGAGGTGCTTGCAGCCAGTTAATTCAGAGCCCACTGTGTTTTCGGTTGCCGTAGTCAGCAGGGACCCCAATGCCGTCCACTCACTAACACAGTGTCGACGGGCCACTGGCCTAGGGTTGGGACGCCCACTCCTATGCCCTGCAGAAAGAGAGAGGTCTTTTGTGCAAACCGAGACCCAAAGCAGCTGGGGGACTTCTTCTGCTAGGCATGGCATGAGTGTGGGAGCTGCTTGGGGGTCGGGGATCAAAGTCAAGTTTCACACCGACTAAGCCAGACGCAGACACTGGCGTAGCGCGGCTGCGCCGGGGGCTTGGGAGCACATTTCCCCTCACCCCAAACGCCCAGCAAGCAAGCAAGAAGCAAGCAAGAGAGAGAGAGAGAGAGACTCGTCCGTAGCCCTGGCGAAAGAAAGAAAGACTCCTAAGAAGAGAGATCGATCGGTTTTGCATTGAGCGAGAGGCGGGCAGAGCAGAGTAACAGGTTGGGCAGCTGGCTCGGAAGGTAGGTAAGCAGGTACTACAGTGGGTTTTTGGTTTCGAAAACCGAAAGAAAACATATTTACCCCATTGCAGAATCGCAGATGTACAGGCACAGAGCATTGAAATCGGCACCCGGGGGGCTGATGCCGTGCGGCGCTGCAGAGTCCAAGGCCAGTACCAGTTTCGGTTTAGACCCGCATGAAACTCCGAGACCAGAAAGCTTTCCAACCCAACATGTCGTCGAAGCATCTTCAGCATCCTGCATCTGCTCCTTGAACGAAGGAAGCTTCCCAAGCTACTAGTATGGCACTACACGGGGGCAGACAGTGCTCAAGGCGAGCACGAAGTGTCTTAAATCTGTCGGTAGAACCTCGAAGGTGGACGAGTGGCCCTTGCTGCACAAGGCCCAGTTCGGCTGGAGGGCCTTGAGGTGGTGGCTCCCTGGCAGCATGAAGCATCGGGATGCAGCTAGGCTGGTGTATAATGAAGGTACCCCTGTTTCTGCATCATTCAGCACTTAGAGTGGCTAATCCCAAAAATCTTTGAGTGTGGACCACCAGCGTATTTTGAGGATTCTGTCATCGGAGTCAGCATCAATGGCAACTTTGCCGTGGAAGTGTGCCCGTCCCAGAGTAATTACACCGATGTTTGGCAACCGCGCATTGCTAGTGGCGGAGCGTCTCGGATCAGGGCTTGCATGGTTTTGCGAGATGCGGACGACCCGAGGCACCGGTGCTGCTTCACTCGCTGCAGTGCTGCCGCGATCGTGTCCCATGTGGACCTGCGACGTGGCAAGAAGTATGAGGGCATGAGGGTTTGTGAGGGCTTGCAGCAGGTTTTACATCTTCGACTCCTCGTCTGTCAGGCCAGCTGACAAGGAAGCGGAAGTTCGGCCCGTGCTCAAGATGTCCGACAACCTCTTGGAGGACTGCACCCGCAATTTGGAGGTGCCTCGATGCTCAAAGTCGTGCCAGATCGTGCCAGGGTGCTGAACTGCAGTTGCCGTGACCTGTGAGGTGAGGGTGCAACTACCTTGTGCTGAGTCGTTGATTTTCGACAGACTGCCATTGGCAGCAGGAAGCTACGAGGTCTGCGCCAGCCTTTGCATGATGAGTAGATACTCTTACAGGTATTGAGACGCAAGATGGTGGTGGGAATTCTCACTTTTGGGCATGTCCGTTCCAAATCCATGCATCAGTGATTTGGCTCCTGAACTCCGAAGGTTCCGCGACGTTCCAAGTCGAGCTGGGAAGTTCAGGCAACGGCAAGGGATATTTTCTTTGAGCCATGCACTGTCTGCCCCTGCACACCGCAGGTCAGCGACCTGGGTGTTGTCTCATGGCGTTGCGCCCCCGTGGCAGAGCCGGGCCCAAGACGCAGAAGACGAAAGGAGAAGGAAAGGAACGCAGCCGAGGCTCTGCTGTGGCTCCGCGGGTGTAACTGAAGGGCGTTAGTGGATCCGCGATTGCATATTGATGTGCGACTTTGGGGCACTGCAGCCAGGCAGCTGAATCAGACGATACCACCAGAAGAAAGTTTACAGACGACGAGGCTGTTCATGTCTGCACAGGGAAGGAATCAGTAGTGCTGCATTCCGAGTAGACTTGTGCCGGAAAGGCTTGGGCATGCAAGATTTTGGGATTGCGGCGCAATGCTGCAGCTACTCCGCGCGAAGTTCGTGCGGCCTACCGGAAGCGCCCTTTCTAATTACTACGAGAAGATAGCCTGTGCGATCTATGGAAAAGCTATTTGAGCACTGCCCAGGAAAGCCAGGGAGGTGCATCCAGACAAGCAGGCCGAGCCGATGGTTGGCCCATCCTTCCTGGATGTCTCGGCAGCTTCTCAGGCGGTTCCAACTGCACCCAGTGATGCCAGGTTTGCCGAAATGCTACCTGTGTGGCCTCTGTGCAGGCCTTATTGGCTGGTTTCATCCCTGCTCCAGCACCTCTGAAGCGGCGAAGAAGCAGCACTCGTGAGCATGGTCGGAAAATCGTCGGCAGTTTCGACTCCCATGACCATCCATGCAGAGATGTGGCGCGAGCATGACAGGTTCAGGATGTTTGCCTTCGAGTTGCAGCATCCCGGCCGCAGAAGTACCATTTCGGATCGCGAGGAGCAGGTCCTATGCTGACCCATTCTTGGACAACACGGCATCAGGTGCGGAATGGTCTCCCAGCTGCAACAGCATTGCATTCTGAGGCGAAGCCCACGGGAAATTTCATTACTCGCAAGAGTACTTCTGTGATGCTGACTTGTTTGACACTATTGAAACCGTCCTGGGACGTCTGCGACTGGAAGCAGCAGCCATGCAAGAGCACTGCACCAGGTCTTCGCCAGCTCCCAGCTGCTTTCCACAGCTCCGCGGAAGGCACCCGCTGTTGTCCATGTGAATCCTGGCACACGTGGACCACCCGGAAAGTTGTTGGTCTGCGAAGGCCACCGGCTCGGAAAGCAGTCCTCTCCTAGGCCGTGTGCCGGGCTCCAAGTCGAAGACAAGGATGTACCTACAGGCATTGCTGGGAGCAAGGATTGAGATAGACACCGCGCAAATCCACCGGCGCCTACAAGAGGACGAAAGGGAGAAGCTCAGACCATGGCTAGCCACTAGCCTGGAGCATGCAGGACGACATCGTTTGCGTTCTCCCTGTCGGTGCAGGGTCACTGCTAGGTGGGAGTCGAGGTGATCGTGAGATGATTTCTTCATGTGCTTCCGCACCTCCAGGAACCGGTAGCCAGCTCCGTTACGTCCCGTCAGAGGAACTCGCAGCTCAGGTGGCTATCGATATCAGGCCCTTCGAAGCGTGCCCATGCATGTCAAGGGGCAGCCGCCAGGTGGCCAAAGAGCTTAAAGCCACCAAGCTGATCTTCTTCACCCGGGGCAGCTCTGCTGTTTGATGGAATCGCGTTTATCCTGATGTGATATGTAACGGTAACGTAAACTGGCTGCTTTCGACAAAGCCTGCCGCCTGATTGACGCAGTTTGTGTGATTGGGACGCGAGAGTGACGATGAATTTCGGTGTTGTGCTTCGCGACACTGAGGCCAGAGGCTCATGGACACTGCTCGAGGGCATGTGACTCGGTAAAATTGCGATGAGGAGCGAGAGAAACTTCTGCGTGGATGAAGACGAGGGAAGAGCAAGAGCCTTGCATCTTGGCAGGTGATTCCCACAATGCAGCTGGGGGAAGCAGACAGGCTGCTGGAGTATGCGTGCAGGGCTCACATCAGTCATCATCGGTCCGAAGCACCTGGTCTGTGCAGTACTTCATGTGCAAGCCAAGGAAAACCAGCAGCAGTTTTATGGAAAAGGCACTCGCTGCAATTCTGAATCTGGGTCTCACAGATGCTGGTGCCCAGTCTTCTTTACGTACTGTTCCTAGAAGTACTCCTAGTCAGTGGCTGTCCCGATCCTCGAAACACCGCATGGAACCGACCTGGAACTCGAGTTAAGCGGGCTCTGTTGAAGAGGTCCATGCCTGCGATCACAGTGGATACTTCCCGTGCCCTTTTTCCACAGCGGCAGGAAGAGTCGCGAGAGGTCATCTTCTACTTGGAACTGCCCCTCAGCTTCAGACTCGAGCGGAGCTTGGCTACCTCACCTCTGTCTCTCTCTCTCTCTCTCTCTCACGGGCGCGTTTGGGGTGGGTGTGGGCAAAAACTGTAAACTGGAAATTTGTCACTAGCGATGACAGCCATGTTATAGCTGAACTTTTGCGAGAGTCGGAACAAGGGGCTCTGGCGAGTCTTACACCAATGAAGACGCTCTCCAGTATCTATGGTACCTGGGCTGATCAGCCAGAAAACCTGCTGTGCGACATTGCTGTACTTGCATCTGACAGCGTTGATGACAGTCTTCCATGTGCGCAGGCTTTGGTTACTGATTGATCGTGCGCCATTGTGTTGTCGAGACTTTTGATTCAGTCGGTGAAGCTAAGTGCCTGCAAGAAAGTGCCGGGGTTCCATCGATCCGAATGCCGTTCTGTTGGATGACTGATGATGAAACAGGGCGCTGTACTGGCTGTACAGCGTTTCGCTATCCAAGACACAGATTTCCATCTCCTGTTTTGGTGTACGTAGATCTGTTTGATCAGGTCCCTGGTCCCTTCCTCTTTGGTCTTAAAATTGACACTGCTTCCGTCTCTCACCCGCCAACCCGCCAACGCCAGAGTCTCCCGCGTCAGATCCACACGTTCAGCCCAAGCTTCGCTGAAGTCTGTAGTTGCCAACTCCTTCACGACGAGAAGCTGGAACAGACGTCCACGTAGTCAACCGGCTGAGTCGCTGTATCAAGCCTCGTGTTAGATGACAGACACATTGAAGTCGTGTACATTTCAGAGGCTAATCCGACTATAGCTGAGGCTCCTGCAAGCACTTCGCAGCGGCACACGTCGGGCTCATCTGATTGACCCACGACGTGGCGCTCTGCTTCAGGCAGAAGCAGGGTTCCTCGAAAGATTATAGTATTACAGTTACAGCCGTATACAGCTTCTCAAGTGTATGCCACGGCCACCATGCCGGTTGCCAGGAGCTGTACACCACGGATGGAAGTGGGACAATGATCTCGCTGGATCTCTACGACGGTATCAGGAGCTAGCAGCAGACAGGATCTTGCAAACCCAGTAGTGTCTGCAAGCTTGACAGGCTGGCGAGATCGGGTGATGTATCCGGTATTCTCGAACTCATTGAGCCCCTGGTGAGGCTGTACCGTCCATTGCATGTTTGTCTTGTGATCAGCGGCCCAATCGCCTGCTTCCATCTGTCGCAGTTTCAAGGAGGGGGCTACTCAGACGGCGCAATACCTACGAGGCACGGCCGAGGGGAAATCGCTGGTTTTGCGGCCGAGGAATGCCAACTCAGCGAGCCTTTGTTCTTTGCGCGACATTTCCGGCAGGTGGAGCGTGTTCGCAGCTCAGTTCCTACGAACATCCTTCCATGTACTGGGCCGCTAGAGCGTACCCCAAGCTTGCTAACCTGTCTTCAAGTGTGGTTTGAGGCATGCAACAATCAAGAGATGTTCGTGTGGAAGCGCGATGCAGGCGGCCTAAGCATCTGCGGAGAACTGCAGTGGAGCAGTACTTGCCAGCTAGCACAACCGAATCCCGCACCACAGGAATCGGCTAATTAAAATTCGGCCACAAGCTTTGGCATGTTTCGGACCAAGGACAAGTTTGTTGGCTGCGCCAGCCTTCAGCAATTTAGTGATGCTCCGGGCAAAGCAGAGCTGGGGGCTAAGCATGCCTAAGCTAGCCAGAAGCAACTCCGAGATCCAAATTCTTGTTGGTGCGGAAAGGCAAAGGCACCTCCCCTCGCATCGCATGGTACACTCTAGTCGAGCAGAGCAGAAGTAGCAGTACCAGAAGCTTTCGACCCAAACTGAAGCGCTCTCATGGGCACGGCCCTTGAACCCCTTCTTCCCGCTGTTGTCCGTTGAGTAGTGGCCCGGCGGGCCCCCCACAACCAGCCCCGCCCTGGCCCCACCTTTTCGGCCTGTTTACTTTTACCACCCCCCCCCTTCAGTTCTTGGAACAAGGTATCGTAGCATCTCATCTTACAGGGGCGTGGTTGAACGGGCATTAGCCAGAGAGGGGGACAGTCGCGAGGATAGGCAGCGAGTCGCAAGAAGTTTAGAGTAAGACGGGATGGCGCAGGGGGTCAAGAATGGCTTAGCTTGCTTGGCTTCAGCGAAAAGTGGAGGCCCCCCCCTTGCACATCTGCCAGTGAAAGCCTGGCAAGAGTCACAAAACAATAGATACTTCATTGGTGATGGCCCAATTGCATGACGGACAGCTCATGTAAACGCTCGCTTTGTCTGCCCCGGCTTCTCCAGCACCGGCTGAGGGTTTTACTAGTACGATTATTCGTGTGTCACCGTTTTCCGTGTTATCATTGTGATTCCTCGTGCTAGACTTGCTTCGACGATGCTGCTATTAGTTCCTACCACTACACTGGCCTCCTCTGCAAGATTTGACGGCAGTAACTCGGGGTTTCACCAAAGGCATCAACACGAATGCAAGTGTGGAGGTCCATCGATGGATGCGTATGAAGTTTGTATTGACTACAGGGAGGCTGTCTGACATGTTCCTTGGCTTGAAGTCGCTATCATGTACACCTGCCAACGAAACCTTGAGAATGTTTGGAACCACTGAAGTACTGGAAGCAGTTGTGAAACAATCTCAAAGATAGTATGGTTTGGCACGGCCTGGCTGGTTCTCGATGTGAGCTGCAGAGTTGTACTGTTATGCCAATTTTCTAATGTGCGATACCCTCACTGTATTACGAGAGGTGCAGGTATCGCCGCCACAACTGGTCGTAGCTTTGGGCTTGCGTAGACATCCGGATGACAGATCAGCAACCACCTTTTTGTCCTTTTGCCTTATAGCCTGTGGAGCACTTCTACGGCTTTGGGACCAGGGAAGTATGGGAAGCAGGGCATGGACTGCCTCAAAGCAAAGCCAAAGGTCGTGCCGGCCAAGCTACGCGGACCTTACCGTTCACAGTCCTATATTGCAATTGCTGCTGCGAGCTAAGGCTGGGCTGCTTCGTCATTTCACCACTCTGCCGAGGAAAAGGTGCCGGAGAGTGGCGTATGCCAAGAGCGTTGCGACTCATGAAATCCTGACTTGCATAGCCAGCATGCAAAGAGTGCCAGTCATCCGGAAGACTTTGTGGCTCGGCCGGTACGGGCACTCCCACATGACGGACGCAGCCCAGCAGCTGCGTCTGTCCTCGGCACTGAATCTAGATCTCCCGTCATTCAGCCATCGAGTTAAAGACGTTTACGTCGTGGAGCGAGGTCCTGCAGCACATCAGGTTTTGCCAGGGCCTGCGAGGCCTGCAGCCCAGGCTCCGCCGCAGAACGCTGGACATGCAGCGGCCAATGTGGTGCCTCAAGTTGCCGAGCACCACATCGCGAACCATGCCGCGGAAACTGTAGCCGCTGCAAGATCATGCAGCAACAGCAACCCCCCCACAGTGCAAACTGGAGAACATGGGATTGTGGCTACAGCGACTGCCGCATCAGCCAGCGATGCCAACCCTGCCGACGTCCGGGATGCGGCCGAGACGGCTACCAGCGCCTGCCTTTCTAGCAGCACACCGTCCGGCACAACCTCAGCGAGCGCTGGCCCCATGAGCCAGCAGTCCAGAAAAGGCTGATCTGACGATCTTCAAGAGTTCAACTACCAGGCTTCAAGCGGCTTCGGACGGTGCACCACCGCCGAGCGTTAAAGCCCACTAGGCTTGAGACAGCGGGAGTGCATTCTGATAGTTATATCAACCAGCGTCGCACCTTGGGTGTCCTCAGCATGTCTAGATAATATCTTCAGATGCAACCAAGAAAAGCGACCGTGTATTCAATGTGGCAATGCGTTTCTGGAGCTACAGCTGCTAGCTCATTTTAATTTTGTCGTTCACGTGCCGCAGCGGCAAGCTCTGCCCAGCTATAACTATAAAGATTCGTCTATATATAGTCATTCCGTATGCACATATTGAAGTAAAAATATATATATATGTCATCTCAAGTCATATTATATCTTTTCCTATACTTGTACTACACTATAAGACGTTATATCATATTCCGTCGGGAGGACAGAATTGTTGTCCTGCTTCACATTCCTGTCTTGAGACCTGTTGTGGAGTAGCGGAGTGTCGAGAGGCTCAAATTACGTGGCCTGGCTAGCAGAGTTTTTAAAACCCGTTTTGAAATAATACTACGTTAAGAGTGCCGGGTGTGGATCCGTTTTGTGAGGCTTCTATGGGGGAATTGGGGCCGCCGCGAGTATAGAGCGGCCTCAATCTTGGGTGCCAGAGTCCAGCTCAAGTTAACTCCACAGAGCAACTGTTGACGGGCTAGCCAATGTACGGCCATGCCGTCATTTCTCGCAATGACTGTTTTACAAGTCTTGCAGAAGCTATGCACCGTCTCACGCACTGCAATTTGCTGGACTATCGGCCACAAAATTCACGCTGCTGTCGGAAAGGCGCACAAACGGCACAGCTCGGAGCTAGACTGTCTTCTTGAAGCCACGTAGCAACAAGTCAAGCAAGATTTGCTGAACAAACTGAACAAACAGGTCACGGTGAGGCATCGGAAGGATAGAAGTTTTGACCTGCTGGACCTTTCTTGTCTTGAGACCTGTTGTGGAGAATCGGAGTGCCCGCAGGTTCCCATTACGTCCGTTTCGAATTTATACTGTAATGTGCCGGAGGAATACCCGACGGATCCGTCTTGTTGGGTTTTTGCGGATGGGGGCCTCCGTTCTATGAAGCCGCGAGTAGGTCAAACTTGCGTCCTTTGGCAGTATATCATGTCATATGAGATGTTAGTAAATTTCATTCTTAGTGTTATATGTTATATGATACTAGGTTGTGCTATAGTATAGCAGATTGCATTATGGTATCTCATATTTCATTAGTTTATCTAAATGGTGTATTGACTTGGATTCGGTTGGATTGTATTGTATTGTACTATGTCATAAATTAATCTGTTCTATTCTTGACATTATTTTCATTTCTACTGCAGAATATATTATGTTATATTGGGCGTAGATATGTATATTTTTTTATACACAAATTATTTGTTTGTTTTTCTTGTATTCATATGTGCTGTAATAGCTTGGGCCGAGGCCGCAGTCAGAGCTTGCTGCTACCGTGGTTAGCAGCAGTCATGCATGTGAAAGCGATCTCTGTGGCCATCCTAAGACCCCGGGAACTACAAACACATAAACCAGAAAGAGTGCCCGATATAGTGCTCTGGTTTACGACTGTTTCGGAGTTGAGAATATTCAATACTAGTCTTTCGTTGCAGAGCATCTGGAAGCTTGGAAATCGCATACTCAAGCCTCCACGGGCAGAGTATCTGCCCCCTATTTCGGTTATGTCAGCTCGGACTCGATCGGGGCCCGTGGGAGTGAAGCTACTAGGTTAGTAGGGTCACAAGTCATTGGAACATGCGTTTGGATCCCATCGGGCCCTTTTGAAGCCCACTTGGACGGGCATTGTCGCAGACTTCAGCAGTCCAAAGCTCGGGACATTGTGGAGCGCAGCTGATTGTCGCTAGGAAGAAAGCTTCCGAAATTCGTTGCAGCTGCTGCCGGCCACTCCAATGTTCGAAAGGATTTGGGCCAGTTGACAGGCCATTCTTCGGCCAGAACTCAGAAATATTGACAAGACCGTGTGTTTGCTTGTCACACACCGTCGTCCTTGGATAGGACCTCAGCATCTGGAGCTGGCAGGAGGGTCGTTTTGATGCAATGAAGGTGAAGATTTGAATGGTCTTGAGACAACTTCAACGCTGGCATCCAAGACCCTTCTTGCGTTCCGCGCCTTGAATTGAGCTGTACGCAGATCACTTGAAGAAACGGGAGTTACTCTGTGCATCCATCCCTGCGCAAACATGAAGCCAATGCCAAAGCTAGCAGCTAGCTACTAGCTTTTCAGCTAGATCCATTTCGATTGCCCCAGTGCTTCTGCCACTCTCTACCTACGTGGCGTTAGCTTGCCGCTAGCAGCGTCCTCAGTATCGATGTTGCCTTTAGTCGAGACGAGTCTCGCACTGTCTTGCATGACGGCAGGCCACGGCGCTGTGCTCCTCTCATACGTTGAACAGGTCGCTAGGCTGCTCGGCGTGTCGGATCCTTATCCGTGAAGGTGATCCTGCTTTGCACGGTCTGTAGCTGAGGCGGTCCAGTCCAGACGCCATGCCCTACCAAGCCAACAGTCGCTGTACAGTGAAGCTGAGGCAGCAGCTGTTCCTCCTGACCACGCAAACAATGCCACTCGGGCTCGTTGTCCATGGCAGAGGTTTCTGTGCCAGCCACTCCACACAGACACACTCATACAAGTTCGCACGCGTTTACAGCTTTGCACCATTACAAGCACAGGTTTGTTTGGAAGCTCGAATTTTGAGGTTGCATGTTTGCCTTACCTTTTGCATTTGACGGATGCAAGGCAGTGGTTTGTGGAGCGCGGCTTTCAGAATGCTCCAGTGGAAGAGCTTCCACCAGGCATCGTCAAAGAATCGCAGCCCAGCATTGGGCCGGATGTCGGGGTAGCTGAGGATGATTGAGGATGCATGTGTGTGTGTGTGTCAGTGCGATGGGTTGGAAAAATTGCCACGCTTGCGAGTGCTGTGCAGGCAAGCGCGAGGGCTACGATCTCGGAAGGTCTTCAAAGGCCCATCTAGGTGGTGATTGATTTCTGGAACCTTAGGCAAACCCACACAAATTTCGGAAAGTATTAGCAAGTACTGTTCGCTGCCAGTAGGCATGTCGTTCGCTGCCGCGTTGCAGTGCACATGCAGGATACTGCAGGTGTAGCTCGGACCACCTGGCATTGATTAGCACGTCCTGGAGTCTTTGTCGGCGTGCAATTGTATATCGTAACTTGACTAAGCCCTCCAGGTGTTTATCAAGAACATTTCAGACTTGCCAAGTGAGCTGCAGCAACGTTTCACGTTCGTAGAAGTAGATACTTTAGATTGACGCAGTGCTACACAGGCTCGGGTCTGCAAATGTGTCGCCGCCAAGCCCGCAACTTGCGCAGCCAAAGACAAGAGTCGTCAGCCATTAGGTTCGAGAGCTGGGTGAAATCAGTTGCGCTGATCCCCAGTGCGGTTCCCAAAGATGAGCTGCCAGCTGTCGGTGATCGCGGTTGTTCTGATGATGTACTTCGCCGGTGCCATCGAAGAGACGGGTAACCCGTGCTTGAATCGGTGCCCAGTAAGCACATACACAACTGTTCCGTATGTTTAGTGCAAGAGTTTGGTGGTGTCCACCGGACGATAAGTTTCCTCAGCGGCAGGATCAACTGGTGTTCGCGATGGGCAGTCGATGGTTGGTGTCAGAGGAACCCGAGGTATATGCTGGTGCACTGTAAGCTTGCATGCGGCGAATGCACGGAGCTTGTTACGCGAACCACTTCAACAGAGACCGCAACAACTGAAGAGGTTTTCCAGAGCACTGCTGCGACATCGACAACAACCACTGGGACAACGGAGGTCGCAGTCACCACGACCGCTATGGCGACTACTCCAGATTCAACTGCATCAACATCTACGGTCGAGGTTTTGGAAACCTCCGCTCCGGAGCCGGAGACAACTTCAGAGCAACTGTACACGACACAGCCAGCCGCGACAGAACCACCCACGACCTCTAAGCTCCTAAGCTCAACTGGGAAGGTGAATGTAGCCACCTTTTCCTTGCAAAGGCTTTCGTGAGGTATGCCGCCTGCACTGGTGAATACCGTCCGATTTACTCTACCTCGGTCTTCTTTTCCAGCGTTCATCAGTTACGTGAAGCTGTGTCGCTCCCGGTGCGGATAACCTCTAATTAGCCAGGTTCTGGTTGTAATGTCACGATAAGCCCGATCTTACTTTCAACATCTTTCGCCCGAGTCTGCAAGGAACTCCCAAGCACCTTCCCACTTTCACTGGCATACACTGAGAGAAAGCTCGATAATGATCGTCAGCCTTATCCACGGCAGCCACCAGTCGAAAGAGGGCACACACAAGAATTCACAGGGGTCTAAAAAGTCAAGTATAGCTGCCATAATTTTTGTCGCTCCCTCCTTCCACTGCTGCTGTCGGCAGCTGTCGTTCGCCTCGCCTTGGCTGGAAGTCTTTCAATCGTCACTGCACGTGTGCGCAAAGGCTGCAGCCACAATGTGGAGAATATGTGGTGGAGGCCCATCGGACTTTTGACTGTAAAATACTGTAAATAAAACCTCCGAGTCCTGACATGTTTCTAAGACAAGCTGAGAAGTAGTTTCTGGGAGCGTGATCTCAACAGAGCCTGCCAAACCGAGTGGGGGAAGTGGCATCTGCTTCAGAGCTGTGCAGATCCCCTGCAGGAGGAGCGAGACCTGGCCGGCAAGATGTTACTCAAGTTTGCAGCGGCCAGTGCAGACGTCTGCTGCAGTGACCCGTCAGAAAATGGTACAGAATGGAGTCTATTTGGGATGGTTTGGAGCGGTGTCGGTGCATCAGGAGTGTTGCCGTTCTTGGTTTGCTTGTTGGTCGCTGACACTGCGATGGAGAGACATGAAACTACTGCACGCGACAACCGGTAACAGAAGTTGAACAGGCACTCGCTTCGCAACTTGAATGATCATGCCAAAGTCGCGCTGCAGCAAGCCGGGGCGGAAGAGAACCTGGGTGCGGAAGGACGCAAAGTAATACGAAATACTGCATCCCTTCGGTGGTTGCACGAGAAGCCATGGAAGCTCACAGAGAACCCAGTCGCCTCCGTCTCTGGTGCCCTTCTGTCCATAGGCATCGTGCAAGTAGAGCAAGTGGTGTAGGGTTACATAAGGGCTTCACCCCCAGGATAGACTTTTTGGATGTGGGCAAAAGCGTTGCCAGGTGACCCATTCTCTTTCCGGCCTGCGACATCGCAAACACAGGTATTCCATCAGTGAACATAGGCAGAGAAAGGGAGCAAGGCCAGAAAACACAAGCCGAAGGCCGAAGCGAGGCAAGTCGAGGAAGCTTCAAAGCCGAGCCCTGGCCCGGTAGACGAAACGCGGCATCTCAATGACATGATGCGTCCCCACTGAAGAGAGTTGACAAGATAGAAATTCAGGCATCTGGCCACGACGCCTGTTCAACCAGCTGAGCCCGAACACGACGCACACGAGCTGAACTGTTTTCCCGACCAAACACGTGCGCACCACACACCTGAGACTTCGACTTTCGAACCCCAGGCCAGACCTACCTACTCACAAGACACGACTTTGTCAGAAGACGGGCCTTTAAGGCGGCAGCACACCTTTGTCGAAGGCAGTCCAGGTGCCCATGAGTTCCTTTGAATCGCTGGTCTCAGTGTCTGTGGATAGGCATATGGGATTTCAAAGAAGTAGGGGGAACAGAGGAGGCCCATGAGCTCTGCCCAATGAAGCTCTCTGTGGTGACCTCAGGATNNTACTGGGACTGATCATCCCAGCGTACGTGCAACGATTATTGCAACCAGGCTAAGCCAAGTACCTGGCAAGTCGTCGTTTGTGCTTCTGCCAGCAGTGATTCGTGAGACTTTCGACTGCCTTTGTGGCTGAAGATCTTGACCTCTGAGACCGGGAGTCAACACAAAGCAATATCAAGCCAAAGGGAGGATTCCGCAAGTGTGAGTGGGTCAGTCTTGTTTGTCCTCTCGATTTGAGAGCCACTAGAGCACAACGGCAGAGCTTGCATGCTCGTGCCGGGAATGTGCTACTCCAGTCAAGCGCAGGAAAGTGACATGAGCACATCAGAGCCAAGACTGATTCATGATGTGCGATGTCACTTCAGTTTCTCGCTCGTGATCGGACCAGGGTAGTGCTTGTTTTAGTTGGAAACATATACACACGAACGGGGTCGAACCTTTTCTGTTTCGTGTGCTTTGTACATGCTGCATGAGGCAGGCTGGGTAAGTTCGACCCGCGACAGGTGCTTGTGACGAGACGGCTGGGTGTGCGGGATTTGCTTTCTTCAAGCAGATGTGCTTCTTGAAGTCGAACCTCGAGGGCAGCTACTTCAAAGCGGGTTGCCAAGCCCGTGTCCGGAAAGTCCACGGCACTTGCAGTGGCTTCGATGCTCCCCTGCAGGGCCTGGACTTAAGTGGAACTCTCATCAAAGCCATGTATGCACCAGACTCTTCGGTCTGCTGCACAGCATGCCAATCCCAACACGGATGTGAAGGCTTCTCCTACTTTCAGTCCTTCTGCTATCTGAAGAGCAATGTCCATGGCACATACCCCAAGACCGGATGCTCTGTGAGGTTGCACTCCTCCCGACGGTTGAGTGCACAGGGCGATCTCTTGGTCTGAGGAGCAAAAGGCTTGATTTTACCTCCTGCCTGAAATGCTACAAGTGCTACTTTTGACATTGACAGGCGCAATCACAGTACCAATTCGTTTGCATCAGTCGACTTTGAGAGTCGCTGACGGCCTTTTGGCGCCCTGGAACCAAGGCGCAGCGCCAGCCACTTTATGGGACAGTTGGCCCTACTGCCTTGGGCGCATGGCATGTGTAGGTGCAGATTTTGTTACAGATTCGGGAGTTGTGAATCAGCAACTGCTCACCTTAAGGGGAACGAATCTGTCGAAGTTCCAAGATTTTTCTTTGCCATTCGAAGTGGGAAAGTGACGCAAAACGCCTTTTTTTGTTGATGACGTTGGCCCAGCACTACAAGGCCGTGTGTACAAGTGTGTGTGTGTGTGGTTGTGTTCGTGTTGGATTGAGCGTTTGCTTCGGCTATGCAAGTCGTGCTGCCTCAAATGGGCGCGGCACCCGCGGGCAGCGATGTGCGTCCCGTGGTTGCAACTGGGCTTGCAGAAGAGGTTGACGAGGGGAAACCCGTATCAGAGTTCTGCTGTGCTCAACTCAGGACTGCACCGTGGGTGCACGTGGGCCGCTGGCAAACTCCAAGATCAAGACCCTCACACAGTCCATGACTCAGCTTGAAGTGATCGGCTGTGCGGCTGTGTAGCACATACGAGCCTCAGAAGGCTGGGTCGTGGGCTGCTGGAAGGACACTGATGGACACAGAATGATATTAGAGGTGGACCCAGGCTGAACGTGAGTGGATGCAGGATCTGGGCAGTATGCTTTGCTGCAGCGGCGGCTCAAGCGTCCTCTTGATCCTGCCACGGCTAGTGAGGTGCCGAGCTTGCTGTGTCAGATATGGCAGATGGACGCGAGAATCCAGAGGGATTCGAGGATGACACGCTGCCGGAGGAAGAGGAGGCGCCTCTGAACAGCACCGGAGATGACGATGATGAAGGAGAAGATCTCCTCGGGGACAACATGATGGA